CCCAACATGAATAAGAGACTTCCAGTGAAAAAGGTAATAGTGGATATCTAGACTATTGAAATAGCCATGCATGAAGATATCTTTAAGTAGATACTTATTTTGATAAGTTCTGGGGGTTGGACAGAATTAATGATTTGTTGAGTGAAGTCAGAAGCAAGCATAAAGGATGACATTCATGTGTTTGCAAGAGCAAATGTGACCGATGGCTTGGTCCTTGGTTTCTGTCCCACAAACTTGATTTTATCATCATCGTTTGCCCTCTTCTGCCCACTGCAATGATGTACCTTCTGCCTCTAGACCAACCTTCCCTCAGTGTCCTCCCAGTGTCCCACACGTACTCCAGGTCTCCTCCTCTGTCAGTCCATCCCATGCCCCTATATTGTTCTCATATTGTCATTGTTCTTTTTGTGTGTGTGACAGGGTCTCACTATAGCCCTGGCTGACCTGGAACTCACTGTGTAGACCAGGCTGGCCTCAAACTCACAGAGATCCTTCTACCTCTGTCTCCTAAGTGCTGGGGTTAAAGGTGGGCACCACCATGCCTAGTGGCATCATTCTTCTTTACAATACCATAATTCTATTTTTATTTCACTCATTAATTCAATTGTCCATTCATTCATTCATTCATTCATTCATTCATTGTACAGCTCCTCTTCTAAATCACCTGTTTCATTAGGGCAGAGATTACGTCTATTTCATTTTTTCACTGCTTTAACAACAGTCAAATGTATGGTACCTTAGTATATTTCTGATGCTTCAGAAAAATACCACAGACTGTATAATTTATAAAGATAAAAGAGGGCTGGCTAGAAAGACAGCTCAGCAAGTAGAGGTACCCATGCTCAAGCCTGATGACCTGAGTTCAATACTTGGATTCTACAAAATGGAGAGAGAATATACTCCAAGAGTTGTCCTCTGATCGCAGATATATCACAGCACAAGTGTACCTTCACACACACACACACACACGTAGACAGAGAGAATATAAAAAAATAAAATTTGGGCTTATAGTTTTGGAGGATAGAAAGTCTAAAATTGAGAAGAGGCTTCAGGTGGGGAGCTTCTGGGCATATGGGAGAACAAGCAAGCTCATACAAGATAGGCTGAGAGGGAATCAAGGGGGCAACTTCATCCCTGTGAGGAATGCACTCCTGAGATAACCAATTCCCTCCTGTGGTAACTTCACTAAGCCATTCAGGAGAGCAGTCGTTCCTGACCTAAGCACCTCTTGAAGTTCTCACTCTCAGCACCTTTGCATTGGGGGTTGAATTTCAACGTGAATTTTGCAGGAGACATTGAAACCACAGCACAGGGCAGTTCTCTCCACGTATCATTTTGTTTCACACCTTCCATATTTAATCCATTTTTCTTAATTGTACTGCAGACACCATTTATTAGACCAACATTGGCCATGTAAACTGATGGGCTACTTTAGAAAATTTCCTGGTAATTATCTTATTCTCATAAGGAATCACTAGCATCTCCATTTGGACCATCACTGTACACAACATACACTCCTATCATATCACTCGTAAATTTTTAATGCACTACCTAGTCTACATCCTTCCCATTTGTATATAAGGTATTTGAAATTGGGACTCATCTTATTCTTGGCTCTCCAGCAATACTTCATTCAGTTTCCAAAAGTTAATAATCAAAAGTCAAACACAGGTTAACTTTGTCGTGGTTATTCTGAATATTCACTTCAATTTAAAAAAAATATTGGAATTTTTTTTTATGTGTATGTGTGTATTGCCTCCATGTAGATAAGTGCACCCGTGTCATGCAATGCCTGTGGAGGACAGAAGAGGCTGTCAGATCCCCTGGAACTGGAGTTATGGACAGCTGCCATGTGGGTACTGGAATTTGAACCCGGGTCTTCTGCAAGCACAGCCAAGGCTCTTAACCGCTGAGCCATTTCTCCAGCCCCCCTCCCACTTTTTACCTTTAAGACGAGCAATCGATTTCAATTGCGTTTACCTTTCAGACCTGTTGGAGTATCTTAGCCTCTGTACTTAAACCTGATCCTTAAGTTCCTGAGTACATTTTATGTTTTGTTGTTTTAATCTTTCTTTTCTTGCCAGGACTAAACTATTAATGCTTGCTAGCTCAGTTTTCCCATCAACAACATTCTTTGTTGTTTCCCATTTCCTATGTTTTGAGAAGCTTAAAAATGACCAAATTTATCGACAATTTGAAGAAAGTAAGTGTAAGTGTAATCTGAATAAGGAAGTGAGCACTCTACCCACACCTAAGATGCTCAATTCCCTCCCAACCTTGAGATACATAGCTTGGTTGCTCAGAGGGTTATACGATTTATTTCTTTGTTTTCCAGTATGTGGGGAAGACCAGGTGGCATACTGAAAAGGTGTGGAAATATGAACTCATATCCCTTTTCATAATGCAAAAACTCAGTAAGAGTGAGATATTTGCATCAGCTCTAAAAAACTCATAAAACTGGGACATGACAGAAGTGTTCTCACACATGATTGTCTGAAGGTAGTTATCACAAATGACTCTTCCCTGTAATCCTACCTGGCATTAAGGCTACAGAAACTGAATCCAGAAAGTATTTCTGCATAGACACCTGCCCAGACACTGTTTATTCTCCTTCAGGCTGGTGCTACCTTTACTAATCGTTGTGTTAATGGTTATTGTTTCAAATTTTTGTTGTTGTCTTTTTGAGACAGGTCTCCTTGTAGCCCCAGCTGTCCTGGAACTCAGAGATCTGCCAGCCTCTGCCTCCTGAGTTCAAGGGTTAAGGAGTGTGTGATCACACTCTGCTGTTTCAAAACTTATGCAAAACCTTCTAATGGTAAAGGTTTTACCTTTAAAAACCTTCCTTTACATCAACTTTGTAAAAATACATCCATAGTATATTATGACATGAATATTCTCACTGCAATACTATAATCCCCACAGAAGTATCATTATTCTTTAGATACTTGCTTAATGTTACTTAGCTGATAATAATATACCAAATATAGCTTGATCCTAATTCTTTGACTTGGTTTTTGTCATATGTGATAATAGTGAATTTTCTGTGAGAATTAAATTTCCCCACACTTGATCTCTTCTGAGCAGGCACTGGCAGCTTCTTTCAGCTTGGTGATCAAGTCTACCTTCACACCACCACCATCACTGTTACACAAATGTGTAGAGCTGTTGCCTCTATATTAAATTTCCAGATTGAAATATTGCTTTAGCCAATGTCTTTGCATCACTGTTTTTGTCTTCCAATGTAATCTTTTACTATTTCCAAGGATCTTTCTTGTCCCTCCCACCATCTGCTCCACTGGCATTTGGAGCAACATTTTCTGACTATAACTTAGGGCCAAATTGAAGTTTCTCAGAGAAATGTATTAGATGAAAGCTCAGGTACGCCCAGCACAAGGGTGGGTAATGCATATTCCGGAATCATTTATGGATGGAAAAGTCATTATTGGAATTTGTTCATTTGAGTAATTACTTTTAAATGAAAGCTTTATGGTTTGCTTTGAGAATTGAGTATACACATAATTCTAGATTCAGGAAAATGGCATTTTATGTTTCAGTAACTATAAAAAGAATGACAGTACTCTTTTTTTCTCCACAAAACTATTCTCAATGTCCTCACTGGACACATATTCTTACTTTGAGTGCTTGAACAAAAGCAGCTCAATACTTAAATGGATGACTCTTAATTGTCTATATATTGGGGCACTTATTTTATCTATCTGCCTGGAGGGATTAGCACAGTCTGAGGACAGGGACTCTGACATACTCATCTTTCTACTCGCTTTTGCAGCACCCAAAGGAATAAAATAAAGGTCACTTTACATTAGTTGAAGAGTTGAACAGAAGCACTTGACACTCATAAATGCATAAAGTTACTTTATTTTAAGTATACATTTAATTTTGAAAAATATAAATGCTAAAATATCTCATCTTCTTCATCTCTTAATTCCATAAAAGTCACAATAGAAAGCTTCATAAAACTGTAAAATACTATGTTATAGGAATTTTAGGTTTCATATTGGAAAAAATTATTAGTAATATATTGAAATGTTTTCTGTTCTTTATCATTTTGTTCCACCATGTTGATCTACTTCATTTAAAATAAAAAGATGCATCATTTCTCCAAAGTTAATAAAGACTTAAGAGAATAAAAATAAGAATATCTGAAAGTGCGTATTGATTCTGAAAACTAATGTGTACGGATATGTACCAGCCATGGAAATGGCTAAAAAGAGGCAACAATTCACTCTTTTCACATTGTAGGACTGGGACAAAATTACTTCTGGCTCTAAAAGATTCACTGGGTGACTTTAGCCCTGAGTTGCAATATTTGCCTAGGAAACAGAATTCAGGATTTTTGTGTGTACCCACAGAGCACAACGAAATGAGCCAAGAAATAAGGTATGTCCAAACCTCTGGTCAAAACACACCCTGCCTGATTAGCATATATTACAAAAGGATTTTCATTTCAGGCTACCATAAAGCTCAGTGAAGTCATCTGAAAACTCCCAAGGCCATTCCAACAGTGAAGGGGCTGCTGTCTTCTGACTGTCTCTTGCCACTTAGTGCCACTGGGATTTGTGCTCATGCTGTGAGAGCAGATGGGAAATATTATGGAGTATGAATAAGAAAATCTCAGGCTCCTGCACCAAAACCATGAAGTGGTATGAAAAAGATTGAAGAAAACTTTGTCCCATCCCTGAACAATGTTGACCTCTGTAATATAACTCAAATGGGGTTTTGTTTTTGTTATTTGAAGATAGTCAGCAGTCAATACATTTCAAGTACTTAAACACAGTTAAAAAAAAAAAAAGAACCAAAAACATGGAAGACAATCATTCACTTTATAACACCTATATATAGCTGACAAAAGATTTACTCTGTGTGTGCTCTTGCATGTATCCAAATGCACACAAACTGAATCACTGACAGCAGACAATTGCTTTTCCCCTGTTCTCTGAGGTGGGGGATGAGGAGGGAGGTTTTGTTTTTCTCCTTCTCAAGTACTTCCCAGCCCCACCCCGCAACCTTGACTGATAGGAGAAGCTGAAACAACACTGCCTTGACACACAAAATAATTAGGATTCCAAGTAGTTGCTGCACACAGTAGAAAAGGAAAACAGCATCTCCAAGAGATTTTCCCATTGAATGCAAACTGCAGGCATTAAACACTTTGATAGGCTCAGTCTACGCATCTTTCCTTCTAATAGTTTGTACAAGCACAGTATTCCTGGTCAACAACTTTTGAGTTTTTACTTCAAGAGACCTTTATCTCCAAATTCACATCCAGGGAGAAAGGACAGAAATGCATTATTTGAAATTCATTGTTGTATTTGTGTCCAGTTTACATAGAAACAAAACCACCCTGAAATCTGGTTAGTTATCAGCCAGTTAGCAAACATGATCAGATTCCAATAATGTGGTGGTTTCCTATAGATATAGAGTTTTACCTGTTAGTATGAGAACTACTCCTCCTCCTCTGATAGTAATGAGAGAACTTGGTACTAACTATTCCTTGTAGCAAATGTAAGGTATGACTTTGCATTCATTTTATGAATATTAACCTTCTATCCCAGCCAGAGAACATGGACCATAAACGGGGATGCAAATAATGTCTAAATCTATTCAGTTTGGAGGTGATGAGATAAGTTGTTTCAGGAGTTCTCTGAAAGGTGTGGAGAGGGCCACAAATCCCAGGCTACTTCATTCATAATCAGAAAAAAAAAATTACTAGAGCTTTCATAAAAGTAAAGTGCCTTTGATTTAACAACATCAAGGTTTGGCTGAACATAAGCATACTTTTAAACATTTTAATGATGCTTCCAGCACTAAAGAAAGCAAGGCCTCTTACATAGAACACTAGACAATATGCAATAATCATTTTTAGGATGTGTCTGAATTAAAAATATGTCAAAATTTAACATTTTAAGTTTTAACAAATAATGTATAATTTGTATCATTTTAATGAAAAAAATGGGATCATTTATGTCTATTTTTAATAAAATTAAAAGTTTCAAAAAAATGTTTCAAGATGTCTATAAAACAGCAGCTAACTCAAGATAATAAAAATTCTATGATCAAAATTTCAGGAGTGCAGAATTATAATTTAACTAACATAAGAAAGTGAAACTCCAAAAGTATGCATTACAAAAATAAAATAAGTGGTCCATTCTGTTTCTTAGAATCAGTGAGGGTATAGCATAATTGTCATTATATGAATCCAAGATTATGGATTCAATATTTAAATCATCATTTTAATATATATTCAATATATAATGTAACTTACTAAAAATATTACAATTAAATGCCATGTTCAATTTGGCTAATAAAATTCTAATTTTTCACATGATGTGTTGAAATGCACATACATATATATTACAAGTGCTCCAGTCATCCTAGAAAAGTGTGTGAGTACTGTTAAATTGTCTCTGTCAATCTAGGTGCATTCCTGTAACACTTTATAGATGTGTGAATGTGCTGTCAATATTCTTGAGGATTTTGAATTGTAAATATGAACTGTTATATCAATGACAGTGACTGATATCTGAGTGGTATCTGATGATATCTAACTGATATCATCTGATTTACAGGACAAATTTGAGCCCCCGATAAATTTTCCACAAGTGGTTTGGGTTTTATGAAAATGGACACCAGGGGCTCGATGACTTTGCCCTTTGTCTACTGTCACTCTTTATCTGGCTTTATACCACACACACACACACACACACACACACACACACACACACACACACACACACAGAGTCCATAGACAAACACACAAATATTTCAAAATGAAAAAATGCCTAACAATACTGCATAGGACACTGACGTGGCAACACAACTAGCATCTGCTCCCAGGTATGACCATTATCACAACGGAAGCTGCGCCTATTATGTAAGTTTCTCTCTTCTCCCTCAAGCTCCTTCATTGAACAGTTAAATTTCTTTTAAAGAAAGGGGGAAAAAACGTATTCTTAGAAACATGGTGCTTTCTTTTTCTTTTCATTTCATCTAGCCTTCTGGCTTACCCTAAAGATTGTGTATTTGTGTCTATGTATGTGTGTATGTGTAAAAATCACATTATATACAATACATTTTTACAGAAAGCCTGGCAGCTACAAATAAGAGGTAGAACTACTCAAAACTATGTTTCCTGCTGCAGGAAAAAATTCATTTTCTTTACAGTAATTAAAAAAAAGTTTAAAAAATTGACAAAAAATAAGTTGCAGGTTAGGCCCCATAATTTAAACAACAAAATCTAGGAAGAAAAATATTCTTCAATGTACTCAACAGATAAGTTCATTAAAGGGTTAAAAAAAGTTGCATAGGAAAAAGGGATGTTCCAGCACTTGCTACAATGATGGCAAAAGTTTCTCTACAGGGATTAAAGTACCTTTAGTTTTTCTTCCTTTGATAACTCTAAGATTAGGGTTGACAAGCAAGAGCAAGTTGGAGTAGCAGCACTTTTTCCAGTCCTGGGGAGCTCTAAAAGCAAGAAGGGACTCTGTTTGGAGGTCGTTTTTCCACCAAAGACAAGCCAGCAAGCACAGCTCTAAGCTAAGCTTGTAAGTTCCTTCAATATTGTATTAAAAGGTGATATAAATCCTTAATATTTTTTGATCTCTGCTTGATAAGGGAAAGGGACAGGGTCTGTGCATGTCTTGAATGACAGAGGAATCTACATGTCAGAGGACGCATCTGAAAGTACAAAAGGGGGAGTCCTCAATGCTGTCCTTAAGGGAAGAGACACTATTGTCTTGATTTTACCTATGCAAGAGAGAAGCAGAGAGCGCTGCAGTATTCAGCCGTGACCCAAAACTGAAACCAAACAAAAACTTTACACAGACAAAAAGAAAGAAATTAGTTACATTAACAAAACTATCAGTTTTAAGACAAACAGGCTACAATGTAGTTTCTGTTCCCTTGCTCCTCCAGAAGTAATCATTGTCTTCAGGCTCAAGTTCTATTCTAATTTGAGGCACAGCTTTTACTGGAGTTCTAGGAGGACTAAAAAAAAGAAAGAAAGAAAAAATAATAATAGTATGTAAATACAGTTTTCTTCATCATCTGTGAAATGTTCATATACTGTACAGACTTCAAAGTTATCAACCTTTGCTCTCTTCTAATTCTTTTCCCTTACATGTACATAAGAACAGGTGTTTCAAAAAGAATAAATATGGCAATTGAATCAAATTCAATTAAAAATTTCCCAGGATTTCATATGTAACAACAAGAAAGTATGAATACCAACACTGAGACTACCATGTGGGTAATATTCTTACAAGTTCAAGGCCAAGATTAGCATTCTGAAAGCATTCACATTCCTGTCTCTGGGGAATCAAGTCCGACATGCCATTTGCAGAACCTTGTTAGAGAGACAGAAAGTACTAGAAGAAAGTTACCAGGAAATTCCAGTTACCAGTCAATCAGGGGTGAAATTATAAGGGCTAATGTTGATCCTGGGCTTTAACTTAATGATACTGAAACTTTTCATTATTCTTAAAAGTAAGCAGGTCTCTTAGCATGCTTCCCACCAGCAAAGCCCAGTGCAAGTTTTGGGCCCTTGGGTAATTTATATAAGATAAATTCTATAGAGGAAAAAGAACAGGCATTCTGCCCATAACCCCCACTGCTACATTTCTGTGGGGCAATCACCACACAGCACAAGGCGAATGTTGGCTCTTCTTTACCTTGGCATACCCAGTGACTGAAGGAAAGGAATTTTTTCAGCATGATGTGTGACGTTCAAGGAATGTTGAGGATCTTTCTCCTGCAAAGAAAAAAAATTAAATGAAATATTGTAGATCTTTAGTAAAATATAAAATTGGAGTGAAAATGGAAATCCTCATGAAGATTGAGGCACCTTTCAGAACTGAAAAGAGTAAGAAAGACATTTTAAACAATGTGCATGAACACTGGGGCCCGATAAGAGTGCAAGCGGTGTGATGGAACCAAAATCGTGTCCTTTCCCTCTAGGCTTTCTGGGCTGGACCACTGCTCTCTCTCCAGGTGAAGGGCAAGAGGGGAATTGCTTCTGCAGGGTAACGTATCTCCCTAATGTTCTTGGATTATAAAGATTACCATGCTATTAGAAAAGTTGTGGTCAAAATGATCATGTGTATTTTGTGTAAGCCTCTGATAGTCTATCAAGCATCAATTATACTGGCAAAGGGATTTTGAAAGGATGAATAACTGGCACCTAAGTTTTTATCTCAAGTCTTAAATTCTCATCTGGTGAGTTTTTAAAAGTAAATTCCACAGTATATTTGGAAGACACCATGCTGGGTTATGCTACCAACAAAGACATGCATGGTGCACACATGTTCACCACAGCTCCTTCTGCCTTTAATTCTTTGGGGATGAAAAATAAAATCTGAATATGATCAGGGGAACTTAAATTCTTAACCAACTTTGACTAATAAAGGTGAGCATAAAATTAGACTTAGTTACAACTTGTAGCTGTAAGTTGGACAATAAAGGTAAGAATGTTTTCCTTGTTTTTCAACGTACTCAATAGCCTGCCTCCAAATGGTGTCCAATGACATCTATCTCTTGGTATTTTATGTTCTTGTATGTCCTTCCCATACTGCAACAGAGTTGTCTACAAAGCCAAAATATGGCAGATGTGATGGTCTGTTACTTCTTAGATTCCATTATAAAATACTGTAGCTTCTCTTTGGGTTTCTGTCTCTGGAAAAAGCTGTTACCATGTCAGGGCAGTCCTATAGAACTGCCCACAGCCCAAGGAACTGAAACTTCCTGCCAGAGGCCTTTGCATGAACTTTGGAAGCAGATCCTCAGCTCCGGACAAATCTTGAGAGGCTTGGTCCCCACTGACAGCTGAATATGCAATCTTATGAGAGACCCTGAGTCACAACCACCAACTCAGCAGCTCCTACATATCTAAGCATCAGGAACTGTGAGTGAAAATACATATTTGGGGTTTAAACTGCTACATTTTGTAGTCATCTGTGGATAAGCAATGTATAACCATGTATCTCCCATGTTTTATCAATAGTTATTCCTTTCAAACTTTTCTTAGTAACACTAACCTCTTACTGACAATGAGTGCTATTATCCACTAGAAATAAAAGTGTCTCCATTGTCTTTGTCCTTATAACTGATCAGTGTACTTACAAGTGAGTCTGACTCTAAAAGAATACAGTTTCTTCAAATGAAAGCTCAAAAGTGGAAAGTGCTTTGGAGGCAATTGCTTCGTGCTACTGGGAAAGCTTAGGACATTCACTAATTTTACTACAGAGTGGCCTGTTAACTCCATTACAAAGAAAAAGATGACATGTCATAAGCTATTATACTGTAGCCACCAGGTTATTACTCAAGAAAGACCAGAACAGTTACAATTGTGAACTTGAAATTTAAGAAGAGAAATGAAGACATTAGGAAAAGTATATATTAGTTATACCTAAACAGCTGTGCTAAGATTTTATGACTGCCAATTTAATTGAAAATATTCCAAATTCTGAATAGTAAAAATCGACTCATTGAACATTAAAAGACCTGAGGTACAATTTCTCTTTTTAGTTGATTTGGTGATAGGTTGAACTCTAAGGAAGACAAACAGTAACAGACAGTGATGTAGTACTAAGAAAGCTGCAATTCTAAATATCAACAGGAAAAAAAATCAATTAAATAACATGGTTACAGGTTTAGCAATTGAAAAAACAAAATAAAACAAAAACCGTGGCGATGACTAGAGAAGAGAAAGACTATCAAACAAAAGTTTGAAGCTTACAGATAAAAGAAGAAGGGTAACGCTTAGGGATAGAAAAATAGTTTTATAAGAGGTAAGCTGTTTAAATAGAAAAGAAAGAAAAGTAGAGGGGAAGTTAAGGACAGGATAGTCCTCAAGGATTCTGTCTCTAAGTGCAGATGACAGTCAAGTGAGCATGCAAGAGGTTAGTTCTACTCACTGTCCGAAGGTTTGTTATCACTTAGGAAAGGCTGCTGTTCCATGATGTCCATTGGGATTTTAATACTGGGAACCTTTTCTGAGTATGGGCAGTCAGACTGTGAAAGAAACGTACAACAGCTTTTAGAATGTTTTTATTATTTCAGCCCTTCTTGCCTTCAGTGTTTACCAAATCTGTTATTTACATGAACTAAAGAGAAAAACATTTGATATCATTTCTAGTTTGCTCATTTTCAAGTATTCCACCATCTCTCTCCCTCGCATTCACTTTCTTCCTTTCTTAGTTGATAGCAGTAAGTCCACTGATGCTAGAACCACACCGGGGAGATTGCAACGTAACTGTGAGGCATTCCACAGGCTGGATTCCCAGTCAACAAACACTGGTGGCTGTATATGTGAAGCAAACAATTTCATTGTAAAACACTAAATCTAAGAAATTTTCTAAATTATAGAATGATCTCAAAATTCATGGTTTTTTTTTCAATGTTCCCTGATCTCTCTCCAGGAAAATCATGACCCATATTGCTTTTCAAAGTAAGTAGACTATGCTGACATCTACTATCAAGGAGAGCTCTATAGACCCAATGTCTTCCTTCTTTACTTTAATAGTCTCTTAGATACTATTTTATGTCAAAGATTCATTTCAATTTTCTTATGCCAAAAATATTTGAAAACATAAGGAAAAAAATGAGGAAATTAAAGCTGAAGAATGTGTCTATGATGTTCAGATAAGCAGAGAATCAAAACGAGAAAAATGGGAATGATAGGTAGCTAATAATAATGGAACTGTTTAAAGAACAGGCCACCCAGCCCAGTTGTCATAGACTTCCAAAGAATTGCTGCTTTACCTAAAAAATAGTCAATGTTTATTTGAGCATTAATTGCAATAGCCAAGTCATGGAACCAACACAGATGTTAAACAATAAGAGGAATGGGTAAAGAAAATGTGACAAAGTGGAAAGATTTTTCATCATTAAAAAGAAATTCACGTCCATATTCACATATCCAGCTGGACATAAGCATATTAATCAAATTATGCTAATCTCAGAAAGACAAAAATTGCATGTTTTCTCTCATGTATCATTCTTAGTATAGAGATATATGAAATCACAAAGTAAAACTATTTAGGGAGCCAAAGAGGATTAATGGGAGGGGGAAAAGGGAAAAGAAGGGAATAAGGGGGACTATGCTAACCTATAATATATGCTTGTAGGACTTTAAACAAGTTATTTCAAACAATTCAACATGTTGAATGCAAGTCTATATTTGGACTGAGAAGATCCAATTCATCTCTTAACTGAAAATATAAAGGAGACCATCTTTACTTGAAAGAAAAACAGAACAAGAGGGCTTAGGGTGAATCCCAGTAGACTGCTTTCCAAGCAAGAGCAAGGCCCTGGGTGTGTTCCTCAGCACTACAAAAAGGAAAAAGAAGGGAAAGGAAGAGGACCAAAGAAACCAAGTTTTAAGATAAAACTTATTACTTAACATAGAAAATTCCTTTGTAATGACTATAAGGAGGGTAATAAGATATTCACTCCTTACTCATTCACTCATTTGAGAACTGAAATAAGTTTGACAAAAAAGTTTAATTAAGATGCTACATGTACCTTCCTTTATTACTTGTCAAGAACAATAATCCTATTTCAAATGTTTCCCAAAGTAACAGCACTTACAGATGGACAAGCTGGCAACCAGCTCCTAATCAAAGACTACCGCACAGGCTCAGAATTGAATGTGAGTGGCTCAAAATGTTGGCAAGATGTAGGTTTCACAATTTCTGCCCATAAACATTAGAGCTATGACCCCAGAGTCCTAGTATGGTCCTCTGTAACTAAGGACCCCACACCATATGACTGTCAGGTGAACATCAAAAGAGCTACCTTCCAATGCATTAGCTCAAATAATGGGCTCAACATATGCCTAAATTGCCTGGTTAGGTTCATTGTTTGTGAACAAATGTATATATTTGTTGTTTCAATAGGGATGAGATAGAGAGGGGCAGAAGAAAAGAAATAAGTATCACCCAAGGAACTGTCAAGAAACCTACTGGAAGCTGGGTGTGGTGGTGCATGCCTTTAATACCAGCACTTAGCAGGTGGATCTCTGTGAGTTTAAGGCTGGCAGGGAGATCTTGTCTCAAAAAAAAAAAAAGAAAGAAAGAAAAGGAAAGGAAAGGGAATGGAACGGAAGGGAAGGGAAGGGAAGGGAAGAGAAGGGAAGGGAAGGAAGAAACCTACTGGCAAAATGGAGCAGAACGTGGCAAACACTAACAAGACAATAGCACTGTTTAAGTACCAGCCATTGGAAATCACATCTAAGAATTCTAAGACCAGCTTAGGAGTGCCTCTGATCTAATTTTGTTATGATATAGTAGAGTAGTAGATTTAAAACAATCCCCAAAGTTGGTATACCATTATTTTAAGATTAAAAGTATTGTATAACATTAGTTCATATGTTAGTAATGAAGAATGAATTTTCAGTTTGGTGATCCTGGGTATAAACTGTGGTGTCTATTTTAAAATTCAAGATGAAATAATGCTTTAATCATCTTCATATTTCAGGAAACCTCTTGTTTTTGTCTTGGTACAAAAATTCACTTCCAGTTATGATTTCTAGCCAATGTTTAAGCTTTTCATTTTTCTTAATAGTGCATGTTAATCTCTGCTACAGTTTAAACATATTCCTTCTTTTTCTGTCACCATTGGAACCAGAAAATCTATACACCTGATCTCACTGAAGATAGATGATGAGTCATAAAAGCTCCTCAGACTCTTTTCCTCTGTAGCTACATGTGCCTTATATATTTAGCCTTTTCTTATTGGATCAATTTATCTGAAATCCAATTCTGTCTGTTGCCTTCCTTTGCTGTGCTATGTCCAAGTTCTACAAAAAAAATACCATCAGATAGTCTGTTCTCTCACACAGTGAGGCTTGGATGAGTACTTGGGCTTTGTTAGTTATAGTTGTGCACATTTAGAAAAACAACTTTAGTACCTGCATCACTTTGTATACTTTAAAGATATAGTTTTTGTCAGTAATACCTCAAGCTAAAATGCCTTAGTTTTTGAAAATAAAAATAAGTGTCAACATTTCCATTCTTAATTTCCTAATCTATAAAACGGGAACAAAAATATGGGAGCCATTATGACAACTGGAGATAAAGAATGTGTAGCTGAAGCTGCTGGGTTACTAAAGATTAACTATACCCCTACTTTAGAATGACAATATCCCACAAACCATTTGTGCCATTACACTGTAAAATCCAGAAAATGTGCACACAGAAAGAAACATTTTGACAATTCTTTCAGAAGGCCACTGCGATGAGTGTGTTCTCTGTGTGTGTGTCTGTATGTGTTTTTCTGTCTCTCATTCTGTGTGTCTCTATTTCTGTGTATGTGTACTTCTCTCTGTGTGTCTCTCTCTGTCTCTGTCTGTCTGTCTCTGTCTCTGTCTCTCTCTCTCTCTCTCTCTCTCTCTGTGTGTGTGTGTGTGTGTGTGTAAGAGAAATAAATCCCAGCTTTTCTTTCAATACTGATTACAGATCCTGACTACAGCATCTGTATTTCTATGTCATGGTCTCCCAAAGAAAAATAAATATGAAAATTTCATTTCTTAATCACCCAACTTCAGGAGAACCATCTGGACTTTGACACTGATGAAGATAAAGAAAAAAGATCCTGGGCTGGAGAGATGTCTCAGGGGTTAAGACCACTGGTTGCTCTTGCAGAGGACCCAGTTCTATTCCCAGCACCCATATGGTAGCTAATAAGCATCCGTAACTCCAGTTCTACGGGGTATCCAATGCCCTCTCTGACCTCCGTGGACACTGCATGACACGGATGCACTTACATGCAGGTAATACACTCATACACATAAAGTAAGAATAATAAATAAAATTTTTTTAAAAGAAAAAAGATCCTTAGGCTGGGCATGGTGGTGCATGCCTTTAATCCCAGCACCTGGGAGGCAGAGGCAGGCAGATCTCTGTGAGTTCAAAGCCAGCCTGGTCTACATAGCAAGTTCCAGGACAGCTGGGGCTATAGGGAGACCCTTTTTCAAAAAAAAAAAAAAAAAAGAAAAGAAAAGAAAAGAAAAAAGATCCTAACTCCAAGTTCCATTCCTCTTTTCTTTAAAACTGAGTGATGGAAGAAATATTCCTAGAGCATGTCAGCTTGAGAACAGAGCTCCTGTACTACAACAGCATGAAGTTTTATTGACAGCCTACTCTGGTACAAAGGTCACAGGAGGACAGTGACTGACACCTGTCCACACTAGGCTTGAATTATAAAAAATGAGCTATTATCTCAAATATAAATCTTAAATTTATCAACCACAAACCAATACATTTTACAGCATTACCAAACAAACTTCCCTTGTATCTTTGAAATTTGAGTTCTTTAAATGTGGTCTTTTGTGTTTCTTAGAAGTTATTCTGTCATTATAAATATACTAATGATCACAGAAAGCCTTTAAATTTTAATTAATTTATTTAAAATTAAGTTACTTAAATTTAAATTATTTAAATTTAATTAATTTATTTAAATTGTATGTGTATGAGTGTTTGCCTGCATGTATGTAGGTACACTGGTATTATGCAATGCCTGCAGAGGCCAGAAGATGGTGTTAGATACATGGTACTGGAGTTTCAGATGGTTGTTAGCCACATGTGGGTGCTGGGAACCAAACCAGGGTCTCTGTAAGAGCAGTCAGTGCTCTTAATTGCTGTGCCATCTCTCCAGCCCCAAAGAAAGCCTTTAGAAAATGAAAACAACAACAAAACCCATGCAAGTGAAAAATCAAAGTGCAAAAGGGGTGAGATGTGTGACAGGAACTGCCAGATAAACATCTGTAGAACTCAGCACTCCATCTCACAGCATGGATAAAAGGTACATTTTACACATTTGTCTCTTTAACCAGTTTTACATGAAAATCTTGTAGTGTTCCTTACGTCATCATTATCACTATCCAAACTTCCTTTCTTCTTTTTCTTCTTCTTCTCATCCTCCTTCTTTTTCTTGTCCTTTTCTGGAATGACGTCATCAAGGAAGCTGAGGTCATGCTGGGAGAAGAGGTAGTCCATACCTTTTCTGACAGCTACAAGTGCCAAGATCTGGAAAAGCACAAATAAACAGCATGAAAGAAACCATTTTGCCTGGACATGGTGGCACATGCCTTTAATCCTAGCACCCAGGAGGCAGAGGCAGGCAGAGTTCAGGGCTAGCCTGGTCTACATAGTGAGTTCCAGGCCAGCCAGTTCTACAAAAACCAAAAACCAAAAAGAGAGAAAGAGGGGCTGAAGAGATGGTTTAGCAGTTAAGAGCACTGATTGCTCTTGCTGAGAACCTAGGTTCATTTCCCTGCCTGTACATGGTGGCTTATGACCATCTGTAACTCCAGTTCCAGGTGATCCAACACAGCTCCTCTGGCTCCCACAGGCACTGCATGACATGGATGCACTTACACACATGCAGGCAAAACACTCATACACATAATAAATAAATAAATAAATAAATATAATATAATATTTTAAACAAAAATGACAAAGGAAGGAAGGGGGAGGAAAGGAGGGGGAAGGAAGGAAACAATTTCAGACGCAGCCATAATGAGCACTGATGTTGTCCCATCAAAGCAGAAGTCCACATTGTAGGGGTCTACACAGTGACAGAACTCCTGTTGACCAACTGGCTTACCCAGAGTGAACCATAAACATTTCTTCCTAGGGAAGGTTGTTTAGTGAAAGTCTCAACTGAGACTCACTTTATTTTGTTCATGGAAACAAATGATCATATTCAATTACAATTTAAATACAGAGTGATTTTTTTCCCAAACCATTTCCTTCTGTGTGCAATTTTTAATAAAATGATTAAATACTTCAAGGTAAAAATAGCTTCATATGGTTCCTAATTATTGAAAAATTTAAAATTACTCAGGTTTTTAACAATAAATCACTACTATGAACTAAATATTTACCATGCACCTGATCATTGCTAAACACTTAGGCAATATTACCTCAATTTCTACACGAAACCCCAGAAGTAGATATTATCCCATCTTAGAGCTAAGGAAACTGAAGTTTAGAACATTGTGTTACTGAGGCCACGAGACCATCTATCAAAAAATACAAAGTGTTCCAGTTCTCTGCTTCTTGGGCACTGTGTCTACGACTCTGATTGTCGTTATTTTATTAATTTTTTAGTTAGCATACAAAAAAAACAGGTTCCATCACATGACTTGCTCTTAAAAAGCAATGCTCTTTCCCCTTTTCAATTTTGGAGGAACATTAAAGTAATCTTTGCTCAAAAACAAAAATACACTCAAGTTCCAGGAGTCCTGACTTGGCCTCCGATTAAAAAGTGGTCTCTGTCCACATCAGACTGTATGTCAGATTTCCATCTCCTGGAAAATCAACATCAGCCCTACTGATGTTCCAGAACCATTTCTCAGCCAAATGAAAGCTCTGGAAAACACTTTACAAAGCTGAAGCATTTTCTTATGTTTAGCACAAGCAACGTGTGATTTACTGGATATATTCCAAATTTATTATGGGCTAGCTTCATTTTCCTGCTTTTAGAAAATTAATGGGTACATAAATAGCACTAATAGGCAAATAAGAGCCATTTCTCATGCTCAATTTGTTTTACAGTGGGTTAATATGTTTTAAGAACAAAAATAATGTAAAGGACTATAACACAGAAAACCATATAGCTTAACAAATATATAACTAACATTTAAATCATTTTTCCTATGTCCCTGAGAGAAAAAGAAATACAATTACAAAGAAGAAATACACACAAAATAAAACAATAAACCTTGTTAAGAGTAAGATGAATTTTAAAAACAAATAAAATGTAATCAGCATATGGAAAACTTTTCCAGAACTGTAGGGATGATAAAACAGACCTGAGGAGGCTTTGAGGCTTGTTTTAAGTATATATATGGCCATTTTCTTGCAAGAAATGAAATTAGAGTAAGTTATAAAACTCAGTAACAAGGGAAGTCATGGAGTTTGAATTTCCTCTTTCCCTTCTCATTCAGCAGGGGCTATTTGTTTTTACCTTGCCTCACATACTACCACGTCAAGGCTAGAGAGTCTGGGTTTATCCTTAAAATGATCAAAACACATGCGTTTTAAAACCCAAATTTCTTACTGTTTCTTCTAATGAACCATATGGTTTCTCGCAAGTCCCAAATGGTTCTGCTATTTGGACTGAAACATACTTTACTCTTATTTAGTTTGGTTCTATTATTGAATATCTTAAAAATAATATGCAATGGTGCTACTACATGCCACACACTGTGCTATACACCTGACATTCATTACAATGCTCAGAACAATAACAATGCCCCACCCCACTAATGAGTTCATGGTGGCTCAAGGATGTTTGCTGACCAACATGAAACTCAACCAGTATTTGAACTCAGGTGAATATGAGTCTAAGGTGCATCACAGCAGCTGTTGCCATGGGAGACAAGTTATAACTGATATTGTGATAAGGTTAAAGGTAGAAAACACTGGCTTTAAACATAAAAGATCTAGGTCTTCCACACCACAGTAACTACATGATATAAGCATAAACCCATAGGCAGGTTAATCAGAGAAGCATACCATGACTGGAAAAATAATAGCAGCCACGGTTGACTTGAGGATCCAGAGCAGAGCCAGGCACAACACCTGCAGGAAAGTGAACAGGTGGACTCGGCGCAGGGGTACGTGGCGTAGGTAGATAAAGTCAGGCTGATGCTTCAGGGGCATCAGAAGCAGCTTGAGACGGTCCATGAACTGGGGAGGAATGGAGAAAAGAATTCCACTGTATTACTTCAAGAGCCAGCTCACAGTCATTTCCATCACGCCTAACCAACCACGAGTGATTTATAGTCTATATTTCAGGCAAGCAATGTCCTCTTCAAAGGACAAAGTACTGATTAGGGAGTACAGAAGTTTATATTAGCACAGTTAGATCACAGCATAAGTCTTCTAATTTTTGCTAACTTTTTTAAGGGATCTAGGTAGATGTATAAGATAGGGTGGCTAGCATAGAATAAAGTTACAAGGAAAGATAGAATTCTAGCGGTTCATCTTCTACCTCCTATTTCTACACTCTGATTCTCAACAAAGGATTTTGTGCCTATTTCAGTATGATATGCTGATGGAGACATCTCACACATCTGCCTCAGTTGTCTCTTCTGAAAGAAGAGATGATACCATTCATCATATACATATCAAGGATGTTTTCAGGACATAAAAGAAGTATCCAACTTACAGATGGTAATGAGCCAGGCGTGGTGGCGCACACCTGTAGTCCCAGCACTTGGGAGACAGAGGCAGGTAGATCTCTGTAAGTTCAAGGCCAGCCTGGTCTACATAGTGAGTTCCAGGACTGCTGGGGCTACATGGAGACCCTGTCTCAAAAAGACAAAAAAAATGATAATGAACTAATATGTTCACAAATTCCTTATTCTTTACCCATGGCATAACTTGACCCAATACATCCAGCAATATATTAGCATTTTGTTTCAGAGAAAAGCTCTATGAATATTACATGACTTTCAAGACCCTGAAAACTAAATATGTGAGTCTGGGAGAGGTTTGTGCAGTCATGACTGAACAGGGATTGAAAGGATAATTGTTTTGTGCCAGGTGCTGCACCTCAAAGATCAACTGCTGAGTTGATACTGATGATGAAGGGCAGGATGATATTTAGCAGCTCATCACAGGGCCTTTCAGTCAAAGATATTATGCAGACAGTTGATGAACTGACTAATTGTGTTAAAAGAAGTCAGAAAAAAATGTTTACATTATCTTTCTGCGAGGAAAGGAGAAATGTAAAAGCTAGACTACCACAGTCTTCTTGGGAGTGATTTCCTATTTAAAGGGTTTTCTTTCTCCTTCAGAGATCCTTTCCTCTCTATAAAGCCTAAGTTGCAAAATCAGTCTTGTTAAAAAGTTCTAAAAGAGAAAGAAGCAAGAGAAAAAATAAGGAAAAGTGAAAAGGCATTTGGGGCAATAAGAGCCTGCAGGATTTAGGACATTCCCCAGCTGTCCCCACAACCCCCATCATTATGAGATGCTTGGCTCTTTATAGACATGTGCAAGTTCCAACCATTGATTGATAAAATCCCTGGAAAAACTAGAATCAAACTTGATTGAGACTGAATCCTTAAGAGCAAATAAAAATAATTCATTAGCTCATGGGCATACAAGGTTCATATTTTCCCATTTAGGAGCATAAAGAATATTTACAATGGCAGACAGAAATAAAACATTTCCACAATGGTATACTTCTTAAAAGTTTCCTTGCCACAAATAAACTTGTGTTGACATTCACCTAGCACAGTCTACGGACATCTACTTTGTGATTTGTAACAAATAACCCCACACAGAAGAACTCTCCTCATGGAATAAAATTAGGAATAGCAAAGAAACTTTTTTTTTTCCTTTTGTGAGGTCTGGCCACTTGCCCAGCTCTATCTGACTTTAAAACCAAGTTAATCTAAATGCAATAAATGAAAGCAAGGGCTGTTTTCAGGGAGTTCAAATAAATTCTTATGATGTTCACAGAACATGCAGTCTTGTCCCATTAAAACATTACTAAGTGCTAAATAAGGCTACAATTAACAAGGTGCCAGAAAGCAGCAGCAGAACTTCCAGCTTCCTGGTGCCAGTTAAATTAGACCTCCACTGGGAGACAAAGCCCCTTACAAGGTTTTCCCCAGCATTTTTTTTTTAAGCAGAGCAGGGGCAGGAATCAGCAGTCATTATAATTAAAACTGAGAAGAGTTGAAGTTTTTGATAAAAACAGTACATAATACACATTAACTTTAATCACTCGTTGGTGCAAAACTTTTGATTAATGAAATCGGGCATGTGAAACACACATCAAGAGTCATCTGCTGTCTGTGCAGAGTTAAGGCAAGTGCACAAACAACATCTTGAAGAGAGAAAGAGGTGGGTGTCCTGGAGGCCAAATAAAAAGGTGAGGGAAGGGGGAGATGAGGAGAGAGAAAGAGAAAAAAACAAGGAAGAGGTGGGGAAGTGGGGGAGACAGCACAGTATTATAATATGACTTTTAACAGCCTCTTTCAGTAATTAGCATTTAGGATAACATTTGCTGATACCAGCTAAGTTTGTTCCTTACATCAGAAATGAAAAGCAGGTAGAAGGTAGAGGAAGTTGAAAATAAATGTATTTTAAAAGACTCAGTAGTTAATGATTAGCAACTTCTTCAAAGGTCTATTACTGGAACACTCTTGCCTTTTGAAAAGCACTACTTACTCAAACTGCTGTGGAAAGCTTACCTGCACACCGTTAAGTGAGGCCACCCCCATATACAGGAACACACCATACAGTACAGGCATGGGGATAAACTGGGATGGAAAACATTGGAAATAGGTTAAAAACAACAGTACTGAAAAACAGTACTAAATGAATGCAAAATCTGAAACTAAAATACAACTCATAGTGGTATAGTGACCTCAAATTAGAGCACTTTACTCATCAATTGATAAAATTCTAAGCCTCATATTAGAAATAAAGGAGGGACACCGAGGGAACATTCAAATTTACTTCAATTTAAAAAAAAAATTTTAACAATGGACATACAAGATCTCAGTAATCTTTTTTAAAATGGGAAAAACCTTTTGCTTTTTCTTTGCTCTTAAAAGCAGTAGACTCTGTGACCCAGATGCATGCGTGGGTTATGAGGTACAGACAGAGGTAGCGAATTGCCTCACTCTGAGACCAAGATCCTTTCATAACTGTCTGATTTTCCTCTTAATAATTTCTGCCAAATGATTTATCATCTTGGTGTGTAAATGCCTCTTTCAATAAAATGAACATCAAACGATGGTTTCTTTTCTTCTTCTCAGGAATATTATAAGGACAAACTAATGAGAGCATTGCTTGAAAAGGCCATGGGGGCATCTGGAAGCAATTCATTACATATATGGATTAATGCACATATTAAAACGAAATTTAACATTTTCATGCACTGTTTAGCAAAACACCTTTTACATTAGCATGAAATGCTTTCACCAAATGAGAAGTTCTAATGTGCTGTGCCTCTGACCTTTAGACCAGCATTACAGAACTGGTTAATCCTAGAATGGACTTCAGCTGCCTCCAACTGTTCCTGCTTAGCCACAGGAACCATCAAATTTCAATGGAGTAAATACATTTATTCCTATAAACTGCCGAATGCTTTCTCTAAAAAAGGATTACCAATTTTAACTTGACTAATTTTGATTGTGAGCTCAGAAAAGAAAAACAAAACTAGCTGAATGTGAAGTGGGTGGGAGGGCCACACTGGAGGAAAGCCAGCACACTGTAATACCCAGCAGTCTCCACGGAGAGGGGAACACATCATACCGAAGCCACCTGTGCCCACATGCAAGCCTTTATTTCTTTCAGAATATGTTTCTATTACTTACAACTCTTATGTATATTTACCAAAAATTAAAGCTAGAACTAGCAAAGGGCTGAATTTATGGCTCTGTCTCATTTTAAAGCATTTGTTTTTCTTTAATATGTAATGGTTTCTTTTTGTTTTTCATTACATTTCCAATTCTCATAGTAAGGACAGAGTAAAATGGGGAAAGGGGAGTACAATTCGCTCACGAAAAGCTGCTTAGAATTCCTTCAGTAGGTACTTTTTAATCTGGGTAATGCATTTTTCTAGCTTCAAAGTATCACAGAGAGCCTATCCCTGGTCATCCTCACCCCTTACCTGATTTCCTCTAAGTATTTCCTCTAATGTGTTTCCAAAGGCACATGAAGGAACAGTGTAACAAGGGACTTAGATTGATTCCCTGTCAATTGATGATTGCAGATTTCACCCCATCTTCCATGACACAGAATGGCGTGAAGACAGGCAAGAAAATAACTCTGGATATGAAGGTGTTTTCAAAAAGGATATTCTTTGTTGGGAAGAAAATGGTACATAGAAAAAAAGGGTATGACGTTGATTTTTGGTCAGCTTCAATTCAATGAAAAATGCTTATGAGATTTTCATTTTCCTTACATTAGTACATCTCAATAAAAATCTCCCAATATGGAACTCCTAATGAAACTTGGCAGAACTGTTGGGTTAGAGGATTTTTTAAAAATAAAATTTAGCTCATGAGTCATATCAGAAGGTCAATGTTTAAAAATTAATCATGATGGAATCATTCATCAGATAGCTCTCAAAGGAAGAGAAAGAATGTGTTCTTAAAAACAAGATGCTCCATCCAGTGTATGGTAGCTCATGTCTGGAATCCTAGCATTTGACAGGATGAAACAGGAGGATTGTCATAAGTTCTAAGCCATCCTTGACCACAGTGTGTGACAATGTCTATAAATCAATCAATCAATTAATCAATATATCTGACAAAACAATTCCTAAAAATGGGACTCCTATCTTAATTTAAAGTTTGCTAATATATACATGCAACAGTGGATAAACATTTTTCCAAAACAAGACAGGAGAAATTAAACAATAGCATGTTCATAGGCACATCAAGATTGCCAATGATGAAACTGTAAAAAAAAAAATGACTACAAATGATAAAATAATGCTCAGAAAGTCAAAAAGGATAATTATAAAGTAGTATGTATTCAATCAGTACAAAAAATGAAAAAATAAGAGATTATCATATAGAATAATAAAAGTGAGATGAAATCACAATCAGACTTAACATATTAGATTATGTCACCAAATCTTCAAATTCTGGTGAATGCCATTCAAGAGTGAGGTCCTGATTAAGAGCATGGGCATGAAAAGTCCAACAGGCCTAGGCTTGAATTCTAGCTACCAGCAGTGGATGCTGAGACAATGACTAATTGCTCTTACTCTCAGCATCCTTATCTAGAAAGCATGTATGATAAAGACTACATAGCAGAAAATATCTTGTCCACATGGCAACTAACAGATAATAAATGATACCTGCAGAATTGATGCTATCCTAATCATGAGGACCTTGGCTGGCAAGTTGAGAAGCCTTCAGTTGCCAAGCACTGGTCTTCTTGTTCCCTTACAGATAGAGGTGAGGAGTGGCTTGGGTACTGGGCAAAAGGAGAGCTGGGAGTCTTGTTTGTAGCTGTGATTTATTTAAGTTCTACTATATTGCTCTTTCAGCGACAACAACCTGTCTTCAGCAGCATGTTGCTGAAGTTATACCCAAACATTTCCTTAAGCCTTAAACTCCAAGCTGATAAGAAGCCACTGATACATAGCCTGGTTCCTAACCATTTCTGGAATAAGGCCTAATGAAAAGTTTGTGAAAATGCCGTATTTTTCTCTGTATAAGAGAGGCTCTAAAAATCAGATCAAAGAATCTGGGAAAGATAATCTTATGGAAAAAGAAAGCAAGAATTTTTTGAGGGTTAAGTACAATGCTTTATTCTAAAATGCACACATCCTAAAGATTATGAGGTTGTTTTTGGTGCCAGAACTTCCAGAGTTCAAATCTTGGCTCTGTCATTTAAACATTAAGCAATCTGGTGAATTATTAATAATTTTTTCATGTTTGTGAAACAGTTTTTTATTAATATTTCTTGTAGGTTATCAGTGGGAGACTAAACTTTAAAAACTTATGATGAGTCCTTAATTGATGCCAAGCTCAGCAGAGTAGTTGTTATCATCATCACCATCATCACCACCATCATCTCTGTTTCCCTGATACTGTAGAGCACAACACATATCCGCCAAGTACAGATTACACACTATCTTCTACACTTTCGAACACTAAACAAGTCTTAAAGATAATTTTTGGCTACTCCTAATGTTAAAGATAAACTAATTCAAGCAAAGGTAAGAGAAGTATCAGTGAACTTTATTTGATCTTTATTTCATGAAGCTTGCCAGGAAAACAGGGAAAGTCAGCTAAGGGAACCGCCTTTCATCTTTGCACTGCTCTTTGGTCACCACCAGCTTCCCCTTACAGAACACTAGTAGTTACAGGCCACATTTCTACTGTAGAAACAGGGGAAACCATTTGGCCAGCCTGGGAAACTAGTTATTCTTACTTCCCAGCAGTCTTTACTGAATTAGTGGCGAGATTCAGCACTTTTGAGGCATCTGGAATTGTAACTAGCTAGGGTCAAGGGGTATCCTCATGAACTTAATGCTGGTACACTGTAATAATTCCTGACATTCCTCCACATGAAAGACAGATTTCAGCAGAGAGATCAAAACAGAAGTCATAAACTTCATGTTCAAAGCAACCCTGCATTAGGAGACAAGGGGAACAACCACCTCTACTGCTTAGTGCACACAAGAAAATCGCAGAGCTCATTTGAGACCATTAAACCTGTAATGAGAATAAGGACTTGGGCAGGGAAAGTGTAAAAAAATAAAGGTCACATATATCCCTCATTCCCATTCATTTGATCTAATTTTCAAAGGCAGACTCTGAAATAAAACTGTTCTCTGAAGTTGCCACCTGTTGTTTTAGAAACAGAACAAAATAAAACACACAGCCACATAAAGGAAAAAGATTCCCCCTTCAGGATAGCGTGTGACACCACTTTCTGTGTGAATTCTGAGGTTAATTATTAATTGTAACTTTCCTTAGTTGTAGTTAAGATTTCAGTTAAACTGTACTCTCAACATCTGCTTCTTCCTATATTGACTTTGCTAACGAGCTAACAAGGCATCTATGACGTATACACATAACTTAAAAAACTGCAGTGGCAAGAAAGGCACATGATCTGAGATAGCTGACCTGATCAGAAGACAAGATTTCCTAAATTAAGGAATCTCAATTGCCAATGCCTGGCTATTTTATTCTTGGTGTTTTTATATAAGGTTTTCCATAAGTAAATCATTAGCTACATTGGAGAAAGAATTCCATTTCTCACATATGTGCAAAGCCTGCCTTAAAATGTTTACCATATAGCCTTTTTCACAATGGGGACAAATGACCCTTTGGGTTATCCAAAGCTGCCAGGTGGAAACAGACACAGTGAGGGTGAGCTGAGGCATTGCTGGTTTGTAGGATGGTCAAAGGAAGGACAAGCTCCATCCACAGAGCTCAGACCTCTTCCTATAGATAAAGAGTTTCACATATATATTGAGGCAAGAAGAATCACTGTAAAATACAAAAGGGCTTTCAACATGAACTTCTCTGCAGCTATTCTTGGGTACAGGGTAAAGAATAGGCAGGAACAATTGTTACCAGATTATAGGTTTCATAAGTCTTCCTAAAGATATCAATGTATACAGTATTTGTTCACCATGTCCCCTTGGAGCCATACATGACTACTCAACTGATAGATTCCCCAGGACTAAAATCACATTTCCTGTAACACATACAAAACAGGAGTTTAATTCATCTGGCTTTTCTAAAATAGGATTTTATACTATATTAATGAAAATATATCACGTGAAAATAAAAGACAAAATGAAAGGTTGGATGGTATGAGTAAATCTGAAGACCAAAAAGATTCCTGTCCACCTCTCCTGCCCTAGGACTGATCTCTAAGAGAGAGATCAGGTTCTACAGTGAACCTGGAGACTATCTCTAGTTCTCAGGGAACCTGGTGAAATTCCCATTGTGTGAAGCTTCCTACAATATAGAGTTGTAACTGCCTACAGTGACCTCTCCTAATGAGGTCTCACGGCCTCTGAAGTGAAGCTGTTGCTGGGCATTTCCACCACCTGCTGACATGCTGGCATCTACAGGGGAACAGAAGCACCTAACGCTCTTGGCAGAGGGCACAATGACTTGAAACTCACTAAACCTTTAGACCCCCTCCTGAACTTGCTCTGCCCTAGAAAAACTGACCACAGGTTTCCCTCTATCCCCATGGAACAAAGGCCAGAAATACTTTCTCTGTGATTATTTTTAACCTTAATTCCTCTGTGGCTCACCAAAGAAACACAGACCTTCATGAATCTATTGAGAAGTTACCCAGAAACTGAAAATATGGAAACCAAGGGTAAAAGATGGATAATTAAATATTTTACTCACAACAATTATTTTATAATAAATGTATACATTAGTCTAAATACTCTGAAGACAAAAAAGTTCAGGTCTTATAACCCCACTTCTCTAAAATTCATCTGGCCACTGACAAAACTTGCTACTCTGAGAGAAACAAAGAGCTTTTGCATTTCAGTGTCCATACTTGGGCATCATTTGAATTTTTTAGAAGGAAACACTTGTATAACTGCTTGTTCCATTGCTTATATAATCAAATGAGTATCTTAAGTCTTAAA